CCAATTAACCTACCAGCATGTCTTTGGAGTGTGGGAAATAACCAGAGTACCCAGAGGAAATCCATACAGGCACAGGGAGAACATGCAAACTCCAAGCAGGCGGTGCCGTGGCTGGGATTCAAACCAGTGACCCTAATACTGCCAGGCGGAAGTGCTAACCATTTAGCCACTGTGCTGCCCAATTTGCTCCTGCAGGGAAGAAAATTCCTTCCTGATCCCCCGAGAGGCAATCAAATATTCCCTGGATCAACTTTACCTATAAATGTTAGTAAGCAGTTATATTCTGTGTATCTTGGAAAGAATCCAGGACTTTTTCAAAGCAATCCATGGAGCTGGCCAGAACCAGCTCTTGAGGGAGTCTATTCCACATTTTCATAGCTCTCAGTGAAGAAACCTTTCTGTTTTTGGAGATTTTTTTTTTTTTTCCTCCAGACGTAGATTGTTCACGTTATTATATAGTAACAGATGTATGAGATAGATGAACTTGATAAAAATGGTAAATTATGAGAATGAACTTGTTTGAAACATTAGGGGACACCCGTATCATTTGAAGTCTATTATGTCTATTGGATTTGCAGGGGTGGAGTGTTAGTATTATGTCTGCTATCCAGTGGGACCTCAGAGGTGCATACCATGCTGTGTGTAGGACAATGCCTTGGACAAATCTTTGTATTGTGTCTTCAATAATTATCTCTCCCTGAAAAGAACAGAATTTAAAAATAGGTCAGTGGCAGATGAGACATCTGCTGATCACAGAATTGGAAACCCATGAGGTGTTGTAGATTGAAAAAAAAAAATATTTTTAATCCAATTAAGATACATTATGGCCCTCTTCTTTAAAATATTTTCACGTGCTGTATACTACAAATAGAAAAACAAATAACTGCGCTTGAATATAAAAAAACAACAAAAAAATGAATAAATAAATATAAACAAAAAGCAGCTGACAAATAAAGGCAATATCACAAATTATAAATTGAAAAATCACAGCGCTGATTATAAAAGGATAAAATCCAATTACAGTCTTTAAAAAGTCCTTAAAGAAATAAGACAAGATGAAGGAGAATGGTCTTGATCTTATACACTGTTTACTACGAATAAACATTCTATCAAATCAATTTTAAATGGTATGATTAATAATTATTAATCATGTTCCCATATTAAATGGAAACTTCTCTGTATAAGAGTTCAATCCTGCTACATAAAGTTGAACATAAGACTCTGTTTATTAACACCACCATACAACCACAAAAAGTTTTTACCTTTATACATCAATAAACGTTCATCGAACAATATCACACTATGTGATGTCCCTTATTGGGCTCTCTCTGTGAGCGCCATCCTCTGCAGTGCCTGCCCCTAAAGGTGACTCCGTGATGCTGTGAATGAATAACGAAAGATGAACCCCAGGATCCTGTTCTGTCGGTGACCAGATGTTGATAGTTAATGTAGCCTGTTCTGAATACAGAAGAGCCTTCACGTGCTTGATGAGACAGGAGATTTTCCTAATGCGTATTTAATACACACTTCTGGTGAGTGCGCATTCTATTCATTATATACCACCTCTGGATCACATATTCCCACCTTAAACAGGGACTCTACAAGATCTCCATATCACACGTCTTCTCATTTGGACGTTATATCACTTGCTTTGAATTATTTAATATATTCACTACGCTATTGCATGTTGATTAATGTTCTATATATGGTATATTATATGTTCATACTATTTATAGCGCTGCACCTATATTTTCTACATATTTTCCTGTATTGTAGGTGTATTGGTTACCTTTTTTTGGTGTTCTAGCCGCTCTCTTGATATATTATTAAACTAAATATATATTTTTTTCTAGGTAGCACTCGTTAGATAACCTATTACTCATTTCTCTATAGTATAAGAGTTCAATCCTGCTACATAACATAAGACTCTGCTTATTAACACCACCATACAACCACAAAAAGTTGCGTATATAAAATGTCAAATAGACCTAACACTGACGTACAAAGCTGTCCACCATACTGCCCCGAACTACATCACTGACCTAATATCCAAGTACCGCCCAGAACGCACACTCCGCTCCTCACAAGACCTCCTTCTCTCTAGTTCCCTGGTCTCCTCCTCCCATGCCCACCTCCAGGACTTCTCCAGGGTGTCACCCATCCTCTGGAACTCCCTGCCCCAACCCATCAGATTATCACCTACTCTCCTCTCCTTTAGGCGCACCCTGAAAACCCATCTCTTCAGGGGAAGCCTACCCCACCCCCTGCTAACTTACCGACCTCCTCCACTCTTCCTACCACTCCGTCCCCCACAGCTTTCTCCTCCTGTGCCACTATCCCCTCCCTCCTAGATTGTAAGCTCCAAAGAGCAGGGCCCTCAATCCCCTCATGTTTTGCATTGTATTGGTATTGTTCTGTCACATGTTCTGTCCCCCTTTGTAATGTACAGCGCTGAGCGAACCATTGGCGCTTTATAAATACTGTATAATAATAATAATAATAAATAGAACAATTGGCAGCTAGATTATTTACTGTGATGTGAAGAACAGACTGTAAAGAGGAACTACACCCTATTTGGAAAAAAAAAATAAAAGTCAGCAGCTCCAAATACTCAAGCTGATGACATTTAATAAAAGGACACTCACCTGTTCAGGGATCCAGCTCCGTCCTCACCCCGAACTGGCTATTGGATGGTCTTCAGGTCCCCGGGGCTGGTAAGTTTACCTTGGGAAGCCAGCTGAGATTCTTTGTGGCTTCACAACCAGCTCCCCACTGTGCATGTGCGAGCCACACTGCGCTTTGTGAATGGTCCCATGGCCTTCTAAGACCTATGACATGTCCAAGAAGGTTGCAGTTGGAAGGAGAACTTCCGGTTGAATTACTGTTCCAATTATTTATAGAACCGCTGGGTAACTTTAAAACATCAGTGCGTCAAATAATATTCCATCTTAATTTTAGTACTGTTCCATAGATCATATTATATTACATTATACTGAATCTCACTATTGTATATAATAAGTCATTGATTCTCATAAGTGTAGTCTGGAAAAAAAAAGATTAACTAGGTCCTGTATGATTTCTTCTTTCACATCACCTTAAGTGGCTTATATAATGGAAGGTAGATAAAATTATTACAAGGAAATGTCCTCTAAGAGAAAGGACATTACATTGACATAATGTAACTCATCTACCATTGCGAGAGATAATTCAAATTTTATTAGAGTGAAGCTAGAGTTTCGAAACAGCATTGTAGATGTGTGCAAAGTGCTCTTTCAGTTCCAGAAATATGTAATTAAGCTTTGTCAAGTCATTAATATAAAAAAAAAAGATTTGCAATTAAAATGAAACTCCAGGCAAATATTTAAAATGCATTCTTTAGTCTGATTATGTACCCATTCAAATATCATCCAGTGTTTTTTGTATAACAACAATGTAACTACCTGAAATCAGCCATTGTATATTCTTCCCATAATTCCATACAAGCCTGAAATCTGGGTGAAATTGGCAGCAGTGTAATCTGATGGGCCTGTATTGCATTGTGCAGTGTTGTCTCCCCAGCTTGTTTCAGGCATTGAGGAGGGGGGAGCGGGTTAGCAGGCTTAGATAGCTATAGCGGTTTTATCACTGGTAATTAATTTTTTACATATTACACCATAGGGTTGATTTACTAAAACTGGAGGATGCAAAATCTGGTGTTAGGTACAATCAGCATTTCGGATTTTACATTGCTAGTTTGCTTTATAGCTGCTAGCAATAATCAATGTGTTCTCCCATCAGGCATGGCTCCCCCCCCCCTCCATGGGAGGGATTCCTTCATCGACTCCAACTGTGCTGATGGGGGAATCGAGCAATTTTCTTTCCTGTAACATCACGTCATACATGGCCTGCATTAGACAGGAGCCAATGACCCGACCAACATGTCTTTGCAGTGTGGGAGGAAATTAGAGTACCCAGAGGAAACCCATGCAAGCACAGGGAGAACCTGCAAACTCCAGGCAGGTAGTGCTGTGGTTGGGATTCAAACCGACAATCCTAGTACTACTAGGCAGAAGTGCTAACTACTTAGGCACTGTGCTGACCATCACAACTGCGTGCTGCTGCTTGCATGGATTTCCACTTTGATATTGGACATGCAAAGGTTGTTAGGCAGACTCATAGTACCTAAAGAAATGACAGTAGGGGAAAGAATGTAAGAATGTTCTGGTTGACAAATACAGATAGTTTGTACTTCAGAAACTCTGATGAATATAGCCCACTATCAATGAACACAGCTGGGATCCTGAACCAGATTATAACTGATAGAACGTCTAAGCTAAAATTAAAGATTGATGATTCATGACTACTAAAATAAAGATGTAAATAAAACTGCAATATTTGTATTGCACAGCCACTATTTGTCCTGGCCGGGTTTAGCTGCCATGCTGCTTGAGTGAGAAGGAATGATTAAGTGATTATCTGTAACAACTTCTTTAGAAATTGTATTATTTGCAGCTGGCCAATTAGTTTTTTTTCTGATGGGGCCCGCTGTGCCCTTGAGATATTTCATGACATTCCACGACTATGTGTCACATTTCTCAAGATCTCTCCAAACATTGGAAAGCTATCATATTTCATCATATGATCAAGGCAAAATGATGCGTCCTTTGTTTTAATTTTATTGATATATAATTAAGAAAATGCGTAGCAATCATTGGATCATTTTCAAGGAGCACATCCACCAAACATGTATTTTTCTATTTACACTTCTGCAGACAATGGTAAAGGCTCAAGAAAGGGTTGAACTCTATCCCTCTTTCTACCCAAAATGGAGAAACCCGTTTTGGGTACAGCTTTTCTTCAAATCAAAATGTACTCTATAATTACATACACTATATTGCCAAAAGTATTGGGCCAGCCCTCTAAATCATTGGATTCAGGTGTTCCAATCACCTCCATGGCCACAGGTGTATACAATCAAGCACCTAGGCATGCAGACTGCTTCTACAAACATTTGTGAAAGAATGGGTCGTTCTCAGGAGCTCAGTGAATTCAAATGTGGTACCATGATAGGTTGCCACCTGTGCAATAAGTCCATCCGTGAAATTTCCTTGCTACAAAATATTCCACGGTCAATTGTTAGTGGTATTCTAACAAAGTGGAAGAAACTAGGAACAACAGCACCCATGAAGTGGTAGGCCACGTAAAATGACAGAGTGGGGTCAGCACATGCTGAAGCGCACAGTGCGCAGAAGTCGCCAACTGTCTGTAGAGTCAATAACTAAAGACCTCCAAACTTCATGTGGCCTTCAGATTAGCACAACAACAGTGCGTAGAAAGCTTCATGGATTTGGTTTCCATGGCCAAGCAGCTGCATCCAAGCCTTACATCAGAAAATGCAATGCAAAGCGTTGGATGCAGTAGTGTAAAGCATGCCGTCACTGGACTCTAGAACAGTGGAGATGTGTTCTATGGAGTGACCAATCATGCTTCTCTGTCTGGCAATCAGATGGACATGTCTGGGTTTGGCGATTGCCAGGAGAACGGTACTTGCCTGACTGCATTGTGCCAAGTGTAAAGTTTGATCTCAACCCAATTGAGCATGCATTTCACTTGCTGAAGGCAAAACTAAAGGCAGAAAGACCCACAAACAAAGAACAACTGAAGACAGCTGCAGATAGAGCCTGGCAAAGCATCAGAAAGGAGGAAACCCAGTCTTTGGTAATGTTCATGGGTTCCAGACTTCAGGCAGTCATTGCTAGTAAAGGATTCTCAACAAAAATATTAAAAATGAACATTTTATTTATGATTATATTCAATTGTCCAACCACGTTTGGTCCCTTGAAAAAGCCAATCAGCTATTCTTAAGAGCTGGAATTCCTAAACCCTTCCACCAAGTTGGATGTACATACCCTCAAATTAAACCTGAGAGTGTGCACTTTCAGCCCATATCAATTATATAACTATAGTTAGAATTTGTTTTGGTAAATACCTGAAAAAAACTAAAATTGTGCCTGTGTTCAAATATATATGGACCTAACTGTATATGTAATTATTTTAAATCAAATATTGTAGCTGCTGAATTTTAATTAAAGAACACTTACCTGTCCAGAGATCCATCGTCATCCTTACTCAAACCAATTCTTTACAGGTCTGTGGGCAGTTGGCTGTGATTCCTTGCATCTTCATATAGCTGGCTTCCCACTGTGCATGCACTATGCCATTCTGTGCTTGGTGATTGGTTTCACAACCCTCTGGACCCTGTGAAAGTTTTGGGTAGGAAGGGGGGAGTAAAAATTCTGGTTATCCAACTGGAACCAGGTACCTGCTCCCCCCTCAAAAAAAGAGTTAAAAATAGAAAAGGAGGGGTGAGGAATGCATAAAATGAAACTTCTCCTTTACAGTGAAGTTCTTCTTTATTAAACTCACATTTGTATCCTCATTTTCAGATAACATAGGAACAACTGTATTTTAGACACCTGTCTATATAAGACACCATTGCATTACAATGATTCCTTGGTGTGTCGATTTCTTATGGCCATATTTGAGTAAAAAAAAGCACTATAAGCACCACAGGGCTGGAAAATCAATTGAAAAATTGAAGTAGTTTGAAAAATTATGACCAAACATTAACTACATCCTGTAATCTGCTGTTACTATTTGGGTATGTAAACAATACTATGTCTGGCAGAGTAGGTTCATCTATTAATGCTGTTTAGCGTGAATGGAGGAATTGAGCTATGAAATTACGGCCTTAGCAATATGCTTCTGGGCTTTTTCTGTTGGGATATCCTTTGAGAGTTTGTTGAATGCCCCTGCCATTCTATTTGCTAAACAGGTTTGGAGTGTGGGAACTTACAGCAGCCATCGCTCTCTATACTCCAAATGCTGGGCAATTCTCATCAAGCAAAGCTCTGGCTCTTGATGGCAGTGATGGAGTTTGGCCACCCCCTTCCATTACAAAAAATGGCCACTGCCCCAATCTATAACTGGCCTTCACATCAAGAGCACATGTAAGGGCGATGCATGTCAAACAATAAAAGAGAAAAATTCCAGCTCAACTTACCAACCAGCTTGCGAAGAAACCAAATTGTCCTGTCTACAGTTTGTGTTAAAAACAGGGGTTTAGTTAGCACACATTTTCAAATACAGTACATGCGTAGGCTGCAGAGCCCCTTCATGCCACCCCCCAATATTCTGCAGTTCCTGACTCTATAAATTTTGACAGCTTCCAAAGTAGAAGCACATTTATTAATGGATAGACTGAGGGCAAGTGAGCCTGGAGGGAGCCCACCCCTCCTTAAAGGTACAAGGGCACAGTGGACACCCAGCATACAGTAGACTTAGGGCAAGTGAGCCTGGAGGGAGCCCACCCCTCTTTAAAGGTACAAGGGTGCAGTGGACACCCAGCATACAGTAGACTGAGGGCAAGTGAGCCTGGAGGGAGCCCACCCCTCCTTAAAGGTACAAGGGTGCAGTGGACACCCAGCATACAGTAGACTGAGGGCAAGTGAGCCTGGAGGGAGCCCACCCCTCCTTAAAGGTACAAGGACGCAGTGGACACCCAGCATACAGTAGACTGAGGGCAAGTGAGCCTGGAGGGAGCCCACCCTTCCTTAAGGTTCAAGGGCGCAGTGGACACCCAGCATACAGTACACTGAGGACAAGTGAGCCTGGAGGGAGCCCACCCCTCCTTAAAGGTACATGGGCGCAGTGGACACCCAGCATACAGTAGACTGAGGGCAAGTGAGCCTGGAGGGAGCCCACCCTTCTTTAAATATACTAGGGTGCAGTGGACACCCAGCATACAGTAGATTGAGGGCAAGTGAGCCTGGAGGGAGCCCACCCCTCCTTAAAGGTACAAGGGTGCAGTGGACACCCAGCATACAGTAGACTGAGGGCAAGTGAGCCTGGAGGGAGCCCACCCTTCCTTAAAGGTACTAGGGTGCAGTGGACACCCAGCATACAGTAGATTGAGGGCATGTGAGCTTGGAGGGAGCCCACCCCTTCTTAAAGGTACAAGGGCGCAGTGGACACCCAGCATACAGTAGACTGAGGGCAAGTGAACCTGGAGGGAGCCCACCCTTCCTTAAATGTACTAGGGTGCAGTGGACACCCAGCATACAGTAGACTGAGGGCAAGTGAGCCTGGAGGGAGCCCACCCCTCCTCAAATGTACAAGGGCGCACTGGACTGGACACCCAGCATATGTGCATCCACTATGGAGGCTCTCAAAGTTTAAAGAGTTATGCACCGACAAGTCTTGGTGACAGTCCATATTCCCATTGCACACATTCCTGGAAAGGACTATCAAAAGTACTGGTTGTTGCAGTGACCACCAGCTGAATACTAGAGCATAGACAACACAGTGTAAATATCCACTAACACACCAAATGTCTTCAATCAAATCCAATAAAAATAGTTTGAGCTTGATTGAAGATCCATGGTGTCCTGGCGAATATTTACGTTAGGTCTAGGTGACAGAGCAGGGGCGGACTGACAACTCATGGGGCCCCCGGGCAATAAGGGATCATGGGGCCCCTGTGTCCTTGCCAAAACTCAAAAAAGCCTATGAAAAAGGTACCAGGGGCATCTCATGGGCCCCCCTACTGACCCCGGGCCCTTGGGCAGTGCCCGAGTTTCCAAATGGTCAGTCCACCCCGTGACAAAGTCGCTTTAAAGTGGAACTTTGTACAAAACAAAAATGGGCTAACAGGCAGGATCTTTAATGCAGAAGACACAAGCTTTTTCTCTTTTGCATTAAAATGACCTACCTGCCTGTCTGCCCCAGTACAGTGAATTGTGCATGCTGGAGAAATTTGGCAATGCCGAAGCTGACTGCACTCTCACACATGTGCGGGAGCAGCATCATATCAGCCCAGACAATGAAAGCAGCCAGTGCTCAATACCCGGACGTTGGCTGCTAGAAGATGTCTGCAGCCGGCAGGGAGCTCCAAGATGCAGCATTGTTGGAGCCAAGGTGAGTATAGTTCCATTTTAAGAGTGCTGATACTTTTTTTCTAAGGGCTCATTCACACTTGACTAATTTCTAACGCTTGCCATACTCCGCTATAGCGTTTGACAGGCGTTAGACAGGCATTTGGGAAGCATTTTTAATGCTCCTCAAATGCTCCCCAAAAGCCCTATGAGCGTTTTTAAGGCATTTTCCAAGTGTTAAAACTGCACCACAAATGCCTACAATGAAGTTTAATGGTATTAACGCTCCGCAAACTCCTCGCAACTGCCTCGCAAATGCCTGCCAGGCGTTTGAGAAGCATCACCATAGACTTGAATTGGAGGCTTCAACTTCTCCTGACTGGACATGAGGCATCAACTTTGCCATGACACTGCGCTAATGCTTCACTGTGAACAGCACTGTGTGTTGTCATGTGTACAATTTTCATAGGTGTTTGAGGAACGCTTCCTAAATGCCTGTCTAATGCCTGCTGACAAAGCTAGTGTGAACTTAGGCTAAAGAACCAAATCAGGCTAAATTACTGTACATCTTAGTGATGTCACAGATTCCTGTAGATTCCCTTCTGTTGGGTCAGGCCATCTTGTGTGCACCAATTCTATTTTCTACAGCTAATATACCGGTTGTTAGTCAAAGAATTATTAATATATAGAATTATGTGAGATGCTCTTTGTCCCTTCAGGCCCATTAGATGGTGAGGTTTGATGATTGATGAGTGTTTTTTTACAATAATCGTCTGCTTAGAGGAGATCTAACATAAATGTATTAGCTGCCTATAGGCATACGACCTATTAGTAATGTGATCCACTGCATACATATTGAACAGTTTAAGATAAATAAGTATCAGATGATGTTTTGTAGACACTGATTTTAGGTATTGCAGCAATGAAAAATATCTGTGTGGTTCAGTGATATTTAGAGTATAAGTAAACCCAAGAGCAAAAATGTAATATATTGGGGGTAAAATTAAAAGGAAAATGCCTGAAAAAAAAAAAAAATAATAATGTAGGCTCCTCATCTAATGACTGGTGAGCTGCACTATATTACAGGTTTGTTTGTCATTCAAACAATATAACTTTCACTGCAAGTTAGTCCGTTAGAGAAAGAAACAATGTTTGTTAACCTGTTCACACATTTACAGTATGTGGCACCATGGGGGTGGGCCAGGGGCGGACTGACCATTTGGAAACTCGGCACTGCCTGAGGGCCCGGGGTCAGTAGGGGGCCCCATGAGATGCCCCTGGTACCTTTTTTCATAGGCTTTTTTGAGTTTGGGCAAGAACACAGGGGCCCCATGATCCCCTATTGCCCGGGGGCCCCATGAATTGTCAGTCCGCCCCTGGGGTGGGCCTTCATCTAGCATTCGTGCTGGA